GACTTTAGTGAAACATATATTATTTATCTTGAAGATGTCTTGGTTGTTGGGAGATGGGTTTAGGTCTACAAAGAATAGTGGAAGAGGTTCTTTTGATTGAGATTTTAGGATGTTAGTGACGTTTTTTACCATAAAACCATGTTTTTCAATTTCTTCTTTAATGTAATCAGTAGGGATTGTATGATGCAGATTTCTAATAACGACTCTGTAAGATTTGTCTTCGTGTGTCTGGTACGTGTGGTATTCAAGTTTGTTCTCGTTGAACAATGATATAGCGGGACGGTAAGAACTGGCTGAGTGAAGGTTTATCTTTATATTTTTTGAGCTGGACTTGAAAAGGAAACCCTCGGTTTTCGTTATTTTTTCCAGGTTTTTACACAGAGTAATGAAATTAATCGGAGATGTTAAGAAAATTGGTGGAGGAGGAGGTGGTGGTGGAGGTGACTCGTTGATTTCTGTGTTAGTATCCAGATCCATATTATCTTCTTCGATGTTGAGTAGAGAATAGCGGTTTGGCGAGGATAAATTTGACGGCTCGTTTGTTTTTTTTGTGCAAGGTGAGGTAGCGTTATTAGGTGACCTAATGCGTTTGTTGTTGTCGACGGTATTCCATTCTTGGTCGTTATCTGAGGTGGCAGACGGAGAAGTTACGTCCTGCGTCTTGTGAGAAATAGTTTTTGTGATAATTACCGGAGATAATTTCGGTTTGTTTTTAAGTTTAATAGTGTCTGGGTTGTTTCGTTGCATGGTGCAGTAATTGATAAGTTGCAGGTAACGGCCTACAGCCGATTTAACGGCGGTGGTGGCGGATTAGATTGTGTTTATGTTTAAGCGTGTGGTAATATACGATGATAATTATACTGAATAATACGGTTCGATTTAGTGCTCATTAATTTTAATTTTAATGAAGCGATAAGCGAAAGGCGATAGTGTACGTGCACGACGGCCAACAGACGTATGCTACGGACGACTTGCCGTGCGGAACTGAAAACCCTAAAACAGAATTATTAGAAGATGCTGTGTTTACTTGGTTTATGCAAAATAGAGCATCTGGACTGCCTATATCAGGTCTTTTATTGTGTGAAAAAGCATTATATTTTAATAAAAAACTTGGAGGGGATTCATCATTTGTGGCAAGTAGTGGATGGATGAGAAACTTTAAATCACGTCATGGGATTCGACAAATTGAGATTCATGGAGAAAAGTTGAGTGCAAATACCACTGCAGCAGAATCGTTTTCTCATAATGTCCAGAAATACATCAAAGAAAACAAATTTGACATGGATTTCATCTACAATGCAGATGAAACGGGCCTCAACTGGAAAGCTTTAGCATCGAAGTCCTTGGTGTCTCAACGTGAGGCAGCAGCTCCAGGATACAAATTAAGTAAAGACCGAGTAATAGTTATGGTATGCGCAAATGCTACCGGTACTCATAAAATTCCGTTACTTTTGATTGGAAAGTCTAAAAATCCACGTTGCTTTAAAAATGTGAAAATTCCATTGACGTACAAAAGTCAAAAAAATGCATGGATGAACGCCGATTTGTTCATAGAATGGTTTCAACACACATTTGTTCCTGAAGTGAAACAATTTCAGCAAAATATAGGAAAAGAAGGCATAGTTTTACTTTTGTTAGATAACGCTCCATCCCACCCTTCAACAGAAATTTTAAATGCCATAAATGATAAATTTGAAGTAAAATTTTTTCCTCCCAATGTTACTTCTCTGATTCAACCTATGGACCAGAGTGTTATAGAAACATTGAAAAGACTGTACAGAAAAGAATTAATGCGTCGCTTACTATTAGATAACCAAAATGACGAGGAATCATTTTTATCTTTTTATAAAAAAATGAATCTGAAGGATTGCTGCTACATGCTTGTTGGAGCACGGAAATGTGTACAAAATTGTACTTTAGAAAGGTCATGGAATAAGTTACTGAAGCAAGTTGAAGATACCCAAAATGTGGAACCAAATGTTGAAATAGCTGAAATACAAGAGTGTATAAGCCAAGTTCACGTATTTAGCGATTGTGATGAAGAGAATATTATAAGTGAGTGGTTGCTTATGGATACAAATGATCCTGGATATCAAATACTTTCGGATGATGAAATAGTTCGTAACTTATTTGAAAAAGATGAAACTGAAGAAGAGGAAAATGAAACTGACGATTTGACTGAAGGTGAAAATGGGCCGTCTCATTCTGAAGCTTTTGATGCATTGGATTTGGCGTTTAAATGGTTTGAGAGACAAGAAGAATCAAACACCACTCAATTGTTGCAATTAAGAAGATTGAGAGACCTAGCTGCTCTAAAGAGAAAGTCAACTATGAAGCAAACTAAAATATCATCATTTTTCAAAATAAAATAAATTATGTGCCAAGTCAGCTTTTTTTTTGGTTTTAAATTATGTCACGTATGTACTTTAATTAAAGCTTATTTTGTTTCAGTTGAATATCTAATAAAATTACATATTTGTTTATGGTTACGTGAGTAAATAACTTTTGATATATCATATGTCAATCATCCGGATATTTGCTTATCCGGACCACCCTTGACATTAATTAGTCCGGATAATTGGAGTTCTACTGTACTTATTTTATATTTTTTATATTTTACAATAAATGTAAAAATTTATTTGAATAGTTTTGTTTTTAATTATTTGTTGTGCTTAATAGGCTTTATCACTATAACATAAATTTAAATTACATTTAATTTTAAAGAAATGAGG